ATATTGAGAAAAATAAATCAATTACGAGTACATAATGAACAACTAAAGAGAATGATCTTTATTGTTTAAGTGTGAACAAAATTTTGAGAGAAATTCATGAATTCTAAAGTGAGAGACAGAACATATGTTCAAAGTTTTTAAGGAACAAGAAAATAAAAAAAAAAAGAGAAGTTTTTCATTATTTATAAAAGAGAAATTTTTTGTCATTTGTATTTTGGTACAACATAAGAATAAAATTAAATAATCCATTTATAAACGAAGTTTCAACCTAAGAACAATACAATTTAGGATACACACACACACACACACACACACACACATATATATATATATAATTTTTATATAAAAACACAAATAAATTATTCATAAACAGCCAAAATTATTATATTTGCAATGCGAAAAACTTTATAAATGTGAAAATAAAATCATACATTGTAAGTGAACAATGTAATTTTCTCATTGATTAATTAAGGGACCAATGTTTACCATGAACAAAGTTTTTTATAAAAAATTCCGTTAACTTTTGACAATCAACCTTCTGAAATATTTTAATTATATTTCTAACTGGCCAACGTATGTTGCCAATTTTTGAAACCTTCGTTGGTTTATTGTATTCAATTAGAAGTTATAATATACATAGTGACATAAAGTTGAATTCTTCAAGATAATGATTTATAAACAGGTATTCCAACATTAAAGAAGTTTTTTTTTTTTTATTAAATCTAATATTATGTCAATTTGTTCTATTAAAAGAAAAGAATATATATATATATAGTAAGAATATACTTAGTCTTTCAGCTCCTTTGAACTCTTGCTTCTCGAGTTACAAATAGAAAAGACACAAGATTTTGATATATGATGAGAAATAAAATATACAAATATAAACATTATTTATAATAATCTATTTAAATTGTATATAAAAATTCTTTATTCTATTTATGTTTCTTTATTTGATTTATGTTGAATAGTTTCGTGCATTTGCACGGGCCACGATACTAGTTATACTTTAAAATATGATATAAATAAAATTATCCACTTTTCTATCTTTACTCTCTCTTGGCAAGGGAATTTATTAGATATTTTATTTCACAATAAAATCAGCCATCCCCTTCCCCAAGCCACCACTTTTGAAGAAAGAACGCACAAACCCACCAACAGATTCTTCAAGAGGCGAACGAAAGTTAAAATTTAGCAACAAAAAATGGCAGGAATTTCTCAGGACTGGGAACCGGTGGTGATCCGTAAGAAAGCACCCACCGCCGCCGCTCGGAAAGATGAGAAAGCCGTCAACGCTGCCCGCCGCGCCGGCGCCGAAATCGAGACCGTCAGAAAGTGTGCGTTTTTTACTCTTGTTGTGTATCTTCAGGCATATATGCGTGTGATGTAGTTTTTCGATTTTCGGATTTTGATTTATATTTGTTTGGTTTAGGGTAACTGTGTAATATCCGCCGGAAAACTGCGTTATGGGTCAAATTATGCCTTTTTTTTATTTATTTTCTTGGTATTTTGCCTTTTCTTTCCGCCCGTGTCCATGAGAACGCTGTTTTTTTTTGGCAACAAAAAATTTTTGTGTTCTTTTCATACGTTTTATATTGATTTTAATTGTTCCTAAGTTAAATGATGATTGTTTGTGTTATCAATGTGTTATTTATGATGTAAAGGTTAAATTTGTTGAGAAGTTTTTATCTTGGTTAAGTGAATATCTGAAAATCTCTTGTGTTCCAAGTTTTGAGTTCTTTAAGGACTCTAGATATATGATGTTATTTTGGTTGCAATAAAAGAAAAGATCTTTTTATTACAAAAAAAAGATTTGATTCTTCCATGGCTAAAGTCCATGTTAGAACGAGCTGTTCGGGTTTTAGTCTGTAATTCACCTGAAAGGCTTGTCCCGAGCTGGTTTCACATGAGTTTGTGTATGTTTGCATATTTTGCATCTGGGTTCTTCAGTTGCTTGTCCGTATTTGTCCTGTACCATTAAGTTCATCCTTACTTGGCCAATCGTCTATGATTAATGACAAACAAAATGCTATGCTGCAGCTGCTGCTGGGACAAACAAAGCTGCTTCAAGCAGCACCTCTTTGAACACCAGGAAGCTTGATGAAGACACTGAAAATCTTACTCGTAAGTTGAGATAATATGTTTGTTTATGGCATCAAGGATTACATTAGTTATGTTTGTTTTATGGAATGTAAGATTATTTAGTTAAATAATATCTATTACATCTTATGGATGCATCTGAGTTCAGTTATTGACTTGCGTGGTATTCGAAGATGAAGAGGCTTGCTCTTTGATTTAATTTTGGCATAGTTTAGTTGTGTAGTTAGAAATCGTAGTCACGAGTTCTTAAGTTTCTACTTCTATTCATATATGCTAAACTGAATTTGAGATGAGATCATAGACGTTTTGAATCCTTAATTGTTATATTTAGTTTCATGTCTCTCTATGTATACTGCACTCTGAAATGCTTCTAATGTAATGTACATGACGTGACATATTATGTCTTCTCATTTCTGCATATGCTTTGAAGATTATTTGTAGACAGAATATCATTATCCGACTCTTACTAAAGATTCAAACAGGTTATAACTGATAACTATTGAGCTTCCTTGGAGTATGTATCACATCCACATGTTTAAAATGGCAATCTATAACTTGAAAATTGCACATGAAAATCTGAACCAGGGTGTATCTATTAACATTTTTTTTAGAAGACCAAATTCATTTATCTCGCTAAGGGATACAAAATTAGTGAACCACCGATCTAGCCCTCTACAATGTATCAATGAAAAATAGACTCGTGTAATTTCCTAAATTACTTCTGGGTTATATACGCAGAATGATATTGAGATATTATTTTACTTGGGTTTTCCTATGTAAAGTCGGTGCTTATAGTTTTAGGCTTGGTTAAGGTTAATCCTTCTTTATAAGTTCCCCTTGCTCAACAATGAAGTTTCCCCTAGACTAACTGCTCGAATTATTAAAGAACAATATTTACCCAATACAACTCTACTTGGTGAATATGTATTTACCTGGTCGTGGTTCTTGTTTTAACATTTTTGTTATTTAACAGATGAGAAGGTCCCAAGTGAACTGAAGAAGGCCATCATGCAGGCCCGGACAGATAAGAAGCTTACACAATCTCAACTCGCCCAGGTTCGATTGCCCATCTCACACTCACATCACGGTTCAAGAATACAAATATTTAGTTTGTTTTATTGATTATATATCCTATGGTTACTTGCAGTTGATAAACGAGAAGCCACAGATCATACAGGAGTACGAATCTGGAAAAGCAATTCCCAATCAGCAGATCATTTCCAAACTGGAGAGGGCCCTTGGTGTGAAATTGCGTGGAAAGAAATAAAAAAACCTTGTTAAAAGAGGAAAAAAGTTGATCCTTTTGCACTTCCCATTGCCCCTTTGAGGTCTAAAAAGTGGTGATGTATATGACATCTTTTGTGTTTAACTGTTCTTCTGTCACTCTCATTATGTCTCGTGCTTCAGTAAACTATAAAGAGTGTGTTTTGGCTTCCTACTGAGACTTTGCTGGAAATAGTAGAATTTGAGAATTTGGGTACTTATGAATCCTTTTAATATCTAATCCTTGTTATTATCTTGTGAGCTTGACTTGTTTTCCTGTGGACACTCTTGTGCGTGTTGTCGATCGACGTTATTGAGTCTTTTCAATGGCGAAGGATTTGAATGTTGATCTGTGAAATGAAATTGGGTTTCAAAATAAAAACATGTGGGTGGTCTGTAATTTATTTGAACTTGGGTTTTGCTCCCGTTTTAAATTTGGTTAGGACATACTCCAGCAAAGTTCTTGAACATCTCTCACTCAGAAATATTGTAAATGGCTTAAATATGTGTGTGTATATATAGGTTTTACAGTTTACAAATATATTTTTTAGAATTATAATATTCTACTTTGTTGAAGTATCTAGAAGATATTTTGTTGAATCAGTGGAAGGGTGGTGTGTAATGTAGGGCCAAATGAGTGAGTCAAGTCGAGTGTAGATTGAACTTTTTTTTTTCCTCGAGCTCGATGAGTGATGTAAAATGGTGTTCGACTCAATTCATGAAAGAAATAAGAATGTCCAAGCTTGACTTGCTACTCGGCATGGCTCGAGTTTGACTCAGAATTCTAACTAACTTTTAGTTAAGGGTACTACTTTTAATCTAAACAGTTAATTTGTGTGTTTGGTGTTCTCATATTGATAATTTAATTATATGGTTTTTTTATGTAAATAAAAAGTCGAAAGGATCACTGAGCTTACGAGTCTCTTAAAGTGATCTTGAGGCTCGATTCGTTTGTTTAATTGAACTGCACGAGCTTAAGTCGACCATTTGACTCGAGCTCACGAACTTGTTCTCAGCCATAGTATAATGTAATGAAAAAGTAAGCAAGCTGATCGATCAATACAAACACTTAGTGGAATGTAAAATGGTACTCAACATTATTTGAACAGTCTGTGCCTCTAAACAGTTCGTTTTATCAATGGCTTATGAGGTGCCAGATTTAACATGCATTACGGTATCTAAAAGACTAGAACAACACTAAGGAGGATCATATAATATTTAACTAAAATATACATTATGAAATTTAATCTAATAATTTATACTTTAAGTGCACCAGATAATTAATAACATGATAATTATGAAACTTCATTTCTAGCCCGTACAAAAATATGCAAATTACATTTGATAATTAAAATAAAACCATTCACAACTTTAAAAGAAGTAAAGAATTACAGGAAAAAAA